CCCCACAAACTTAATACTGAAAGTTGCTTGATCTTTAAATTATATTGAAAAAATAAAGTTTAATTTTAATTTTAATAATTATTTAATTAAATTAATACACCTAATAAAAATGTTTAATTTATGTTTTAAAGAATGTAATTAATATAGTTTTTTATAATTAATTTGTATGAAGTGCATAATTAAAAAATATATTAAATTTATCTTTAATATGTACTAGAAAATACACAAAATTATAAAAACTTTACAACTTATCTACATTTTTATTTTTTTGAAACTCAGAAATTAAGGCAATTAGAAAAAGAAAAATAAAGATACAAGAGACTTGAATCACGATGACGTGAGGGAAACACAAACAAAACGAGACAAAGGTCGGGCTCTCAGCTCTTATCTACAGTCAGCCACACAGGAGGCTTCAAAAACGTCATAATCCCACCACCAAAATAAATAATTAATCAATAGGAGTACTTTACTTTACCAAATCAACCAATGCTTATCTCCTAACTTCAATTTCAGTGTGACAGAATCATCCTCACCTTTCCAGTTTCCTTTCTCCTATCATTCCCTTTAGGGACCCTTTTCTTTTCTTTTCCTTTTTTGTCCCCCTGGAAAACATGTAGTAGTAATTAAGTTTAAGAAATCTCAACTGAAATCAACCCGAAATTTGAAAGGAATAACCCCTGATTGAGACCCTACATTCATTATTTTCTCAATTGAACCCACAAAGTCACAAACCTATTTTTTGCCAATTAATCTGTTGTATTATCCATGAGTCTAGTCATTTAAAATCAAATATAATGCGAAAGTCACAATCTTTAGTTTGTTTTACCCATCTTGCACATGTTAAAGGAAATGTCCAGGTTGGGTTCAGGGTCTCTACGACCACTAATTGAGGTTATAGTAATGGGTATCTTGGATAACTAGCAAAGCTCAAAGATGTTTTCTCAAAAAAGATGCTTTAACTTTTAAATCGGTAATAATTTATGAACTCTTAAAAAGAAATTGTCATCTATAAAATATGAGAGAATATAAGAAAGATTAATTACTTTTAATATTGATAGTTATGAATATTTATAACTTCATTTATAGTACCAATATCATGTGAAGAACTCTTATTAATCTATTTGTTCATAAGTGATTGACTTCTCACAAAAAGGCTTTTTTTTTAATGAGCTCAACCTTGAATTTTAAACTTATCTTAGTAGTATATTCTTCAGATAGTATCTTTTTATATCATTTTATTAATATTAAAATTTCCTTTTATATAAGTTATTGTCTAATGATGTCTAAATTGCTATTAATAGCTTATATCAAAGTATTATCATAGTTTTTTTTTTTACAAACAGTGAAGTGACAAGTAAAACTTATGGAACTGAGTAAAGCCTTAATAGGAAAGCAATAGTCACGACCATAAGTTTGAGGGCTATATGAAGAAAAGAAATAAGTTTAGGGACTTAGTGGAGACAGGAAATGAAAAGATGAGGAGCTGCCGGTACTGTTTTTAAATGTCACCGGCCGTTGGAAGGGTGGAACGGTAAACTTAAATTCCTCAAAACTACCACTGATTGCGACCGGCGACCGGCAACGTAATGAGTGACGAAGACGGAGGAAAGAAAAGGGAAGATGCCGCAAGGTTCACATTTGACTCCTTTCACTCTCCACCTGCACTAATACACGACAAACTAAATAATAGTGTTCTTTTAGTCCTCATTCCCACCTTCCTCTCATCTTTGCTTTAGTTATACTTCAATTTCTGGGTAATTGGATCATCATTTTGTGTCTTCTGCTTAATCTTCAACATATCTGTGAGACTGTGACTGTACCCATTTCAGGAAAGGTTGGAATGGAAACTGGGTCGAGTTCAGATTCGGTAGATAATGTGGAGGGACAAAGCGGAAAGAGGAGCAGGGTTGGTTCTATGCTACCCAAGATTGAGCCATTTGTGCCGAGGAAAGATCACAGTCCGAATGAACTGAGATCTTGGGCCAGAAAAACTGGGTTCGTTTCTGTTTACTCTGCAGAAATCGGTACTAGTTCGAGTAACAAATTTGATAGTTATGAGCTTGATAGGGAGAGGGGTGGTTATGATAGGAAAGGAGGTGGATCGTCGCCGAAGATTGAGATTGACCCGGTTCTGGGCCGAACTAGACCCAGTAGAGGAACGGAAATTGAACAGGAGTTGGGTTCTGGGTCTGAGCGGGGGCATGATTTGAGGAGGGATGAGGGTGATGAGGTTTTCTGGAATCAGAAGAGGAAAGTTGGGGATGAGAATGTTCCGGGAGATAAAGTTGATGAGAAGAAAGTTGGAATAAATGAGAATGTTAAGGGAATAGAAAATGAGGAGGGAATTACGAATGGGATTGGAAATGGAAACGTGAATGGGAATGGCAATGGAATGCCAGCCACAATGCCGACTGTTGAACAGAAAAATGAGGATGGGAAGGCTGGAAGGGATGTGGAAAGCGGAATGTATCCAGGAGGAGAAGAACCTGCTCATGGGGGTTGGACTGGACAGCCAGGAATGAGGATTGGGCTGAGAGATAATCCAGGTTTTGGTTAGTATCTTTTACCTTTGTTTTTTCATTTTTCTTTTCTTTTCTTTCTGTGTTTTTTTTTTTTTTTTGTGGGTAAATTCTACCTTGGTTTTGCAATTGATTGTCAATGAACTTGTGTGGCTGGCTTTGTCAGAACTGTTCTATTATGGTGGTAGAATAGGAAAACTGTTAGTCTGCTGTTGAGGGGCAGGCAGAAACTTACATGACACTTCATACATAAGGCGGTACCATGGATGAGGAAGTAAAAACTAATTTTAGTAAAAAAAAAAAAAAAAAAATGTTAAGAGATGGATATTGTTCTATCTAGGTATTTCAAGAGTTAGGGCCTTGAATGGCATATATGGAAAAGAGTCACATGATCACATCTAACATAGTTTGACATTCTTTTATTATTTAGACAGCTGCAATAAGTAATGTGTGTTGCATTTTGCTTCTCTTACCAACTTGGCTGGTTATGCTTTAGTTACTTTATGTAACCAAAAATACTTTCACTTATGAGCTAGTTGAATAAAACTTGTAAAATCTATCTTCCCAAGTTATTTCTGCCCTAGTCATCATACAAATATCATCATCAGAGATATCTAATTAGTGCTGGTCTCTATGCACATTGTTTTGAGTGTTGATGGACAAGTATACAATGTTTCAAGGTGGATCACTCTGCCTGAATCGTTTGGATTCTTGGATCTGCTCTTTTATCTGAATCATGGAATTAGTTAGAAAAGTTCAGAACTTATTCCTGAGTCTGATATATTGTCTTTCAACTGCAGCACCACTTTTGTATTATGGCCTGCAGCAATTTTTGTCACTGACTGGATCACTTGTATTCATACCCTTGATAATGGTCCCAGCCATGGGTGGAACAGACGTAAGCATTTTTCTTAGACACTTAGATGTCCACAGTTTAAGAAGGAACTTAACAGTGCTTTCTTTACTTGAATATGCAGAAAGACACTGCCACAGTGGTTTCTACAGTGCTGCTAGTTTCTGGGATTACTACAATACTGCACTCTTACTTTGGAACTCGGCTTCCATTAGTTCAAGGAAGCTCATTTGTATACTTGGCACCAGCATTAGTTATTACGAATGCCCGGGAGTATAGGAATCTCACAGAACATGTAAGTGCTTTTTTAAGTTGATGTAACAAACGAATAAGTTAAAAAATAATAATAATAAAAATAAAAATTATAAGTTTTCGACAGCTCCAAGTTCTTCTAGTTAATCCATCAATTAAAGTTCCAAATTCAGGTAAAATATCTCTTGAATTAGATTTTAGGAGAGTAAAGATGATAGCCTTCCCTTACATCTTTTTTCCTGCATTAAAGGAGTTGAAACATTTTTGTTTGTGTGTAGCTAGCATTTAACTCTGGTTTACTGCAGAAATTTAGGCACATAATGAGGGAACTGCAAGGAGCTATTATCGTTGCTTCTATATTTCAAAGCATCTTGGGTTTCAGTGGTCTGATGTCTCTATTGGTGAGGTAATTTTGATAGATGGCCTGCACTAGCTTTCATATGCTTCATAATAAACATTATTATCTATGAAGAACTAGAAGCTGGTTAGACTATTGGTAGATTCTTCTCTCCATTCTATTTATCTAAATTTCTTACTATTAATTTCAATATGTAATGCAGAGCTTTTCTAACCTTTGTCCTTAGCTTTTCTAAAATCTACACGATTGGGAGAGTTCTTGTGTTCTTTTTCCTACCATGATCATTACAATTTGTATAGAAGGGCTCTTCAATTTTGCCTTAACTGTTTGATTCTAAAAAAATTGCCTTAACTACCGTACCAAGTGTCTGTTCCATTGTCAGTTTGTTACTATAGTTATATTTGTTGGAGCTAATGCGCTTTCTTGATAAACATAGAGACATTCTGGTAATCTATAAAATACTTTGAATGCAAAGAGTTGAATAAGTTTTTCATGTTCAAGAAGACTGTTAAACTCTCTAGGATAGTGATTAATTTTCTAGAATTATTTGTTGCTGAATATAAATGCATATCTTAGTTGCCAATGTAATCAACTTAGAGGAGTAATTGAAATTCAAGAATATTCAGAAAATCTTACCTATTGCAGCATCATAAATCCTTCCTTCTCCTACAATTTAAGTTGGGAAGACCTATGATGTTATTTCTTCTTTATTCTATAATATTGTTTTGCAGATTAATTAATCCAGTTGTCGTTGCACCAACTGTTGCTGCAGTAGGTTTAGCATTCTTTAGTTATGGTTTTCCACAAGCTGGCAGTTGTGTTGAAATCACTATTCCACTGATAGTGTTGGTTCTGATATTTACCCTGGTAAGTGACTTCCTGAGTGAATTAAGCCGATCTATGTGTTTGATCTTTCTGTTCATAACCAAAAGCAATTGTTTGATCCCTTTTGCTCATTACTTATTTGTTTACATATTGTTCTTGTTTTCTCTGTGACTCCTTTTCAGTATCTTCGAGGAATATCCGTTTTTGGGCATCGGCTATTTCGAATATATGCAGTATGTACTCTTATCCTGGAACATATCTATTCTTTTTAACTCTTTATTTTTCAGAATTACTTGTTTTCTAAGCAAAAATTTAGCACCTCTTCTTCCCACTTGCAGAATAGATACTACCTATTTATGTATTCATTTTTGTGGGAAGTCAAGCTTCCAACCTCTTTTAGGAGAAGATTCTTGATATTTGCTTGCAGGAAAGATGTTTCCAGCTTTATGCTATTTCTGCATCACTTGTTATTCATTGCATTTGGTTTAATCTAGTCATGCTAACAAAGAACCCTTTGATGGTTTATCACATGGTACAAGGAAATAGCAAGCATACATTTGTAGAGATATATGTATTCAGGTCCTATAAAAATGGCTTTTGCCAATTGTTACTCCCCACTAAAATAAATGGGAAGTGCCATGATAATGATGTTCAAATTGTGCTTGATTCTTCATATCCTTCATCACCTACAACTTGAAATAGTTGGAAGCTGAATGCTTAGCTGTTAAAAGTCTGATCAGTAATATTTCCTGTAGAAAGCCTTCTCCCTCTACCCTGCTCTTGGAGTCTTACTCCTATGACTAGAGGTAGAACAGAAAAATAAGCACTGAAGAAATTTTCCATTTATATTTCCTTCCACTTTTAGAGGTATTGGAGGAATATTAGAGTTTTCCAGAACAAAGGGGAGTGTAGGGACGGTTTGCTCCATATGATTCAGTCTAAAACATTTTTATGGATTAAAAATAAGGTGGCTGGAAGTGTCTTCACGATATTTGATTGGAAATTTAATCCACTGGAATGTGCTGCTGCCATAAGGAAGCATAGAAAACTGCTGAGGGCGTTCCATAAGTGTAAAAATGGAGAGCATGCTGAGTAGTGTGACTGGAATGTTTTGGTTTACATGTTTCTTGGGAATACTTTATCTTAGTTAGACTATTTTAACAGTTTTGTATTTGGGTTGGAGTACCCTGTGTACTCTGTATAATCAAATCTCATTTATTTTGCTGATAAAAAAAAATATATATTTCCTTCCACTTTTGGCTGAATTGCTAACGGTTACATGAGTTGTAAGGGCCATGCTTCTTCCATGGTTTTTTAATCTCTTTTGACATTGTTTAAAAATTGCAGGTTCCCCTGAGTGTCATGATTACATGGACATATGCATTCTTTTTGACAGCTGGTGGTGCATATAATTACAAAGGTTGCAGCCCTAACATTCCCAGTTCAAACATTTTAGTTGATGAATGTAGAAAACATGCATATACCATGCAGCACTGCAGGACTGATGTTTCAAATGCATGGAGAACTGCTGCATGGGTCAGAATTCCATACCCATTACAGTGGGGTGTACCTATCTTCCATTTAAGGACGTCCATGATCCTGATTATTGTGTCACTAGTTGCATCAGTGGATTCGGTGAGTAGCATATTTTACAAATGTATCCAAAGCTGTGGAAAATGAACTATTCGAATAAAATATTTCTATTTTGGGAAGGTTTCCCCTATATTTTATTTTCCCAATATTCTGTTTGTGAAATGCTTGTGGCTGAATTCCTATATAAAAAGGAAATAATATTAAAAGAATAAAGAAGACAGCTTATTTGTTGATGTTAGGCATTTTAATGTCTTTAAGTAGAAACTGGAGTTAAAAATCTTGAAGCTGACGCCAATGATATAATGACCATGCAGGTTGGAACATATCACTCCACGTCCATGCTGGTCAATTCAAAGCCTCCAACTCGTGGAATTGTCAGCAGAGGAATTGCAGTGGAAGGTTTATGTAGCCTGTTGGCTGGGCTTTGGGGTTCAGGCACTGGTGCAACAACCTTGACAGAAAATGTGCATACCATCAACATAACAAAGGTAGCAAGCCGAAGAGCAGTGGTTTTTGGAGCACTTTTCTTGATCCTTTGCTCATTTGTAGGTAGGTCACCATCTCTTTTTGAGCCAGTGTTAGCAATTCAATAATAGTGCAAAATGCACATCCAGGGTCACAGTTCAGTTAAATTTAGACTGTTCAGTGGTCTACTTATCTAATGTGGATGTGCTCATTACATATTAGATTAGGCATCCTAGTGGATGATTAGTAGAGGTAAAATCCATGATATTTGCATGTCATGTCACATTAGCACTTTAAATTAGATGAAAGGCAGTATAATATGTATTTTAAAAACATGGAACTAATACATTCCTAACGTGTATGATACTATTTTGTTAAAAACTGAATCAGGTTGAACTGAATTTCGTCAAAATCAGCTTTTTGGGCTTGATCCCTACTACAAGGTTATGTGTGTAAATATGCATTGTTGGGATAATGGATAATCTATTCAGGATAACATATTCTGCCTCTGATTCCTATTATGAGACAGATATTATTTTGATTTCTTCACTTGTACTTGACAGGAAAAGTGGGTGCCATCCTTGCTTCAATACCACAGGCCTTGGCAGTTTCCATATTGTGCTTCATGTGGGCTCTCATCGTGGCTTTAGGTCTCACAAATTTGCAATATGGTCAAGCAGCAAATTTTCGAAATGTAATCATAGTTGGGGTTTCGTTGTTTCTTGGGCTGTCTATCCCTGCCTATTTCCAACAGTACCAACCTGTCTCTGGTTTGATGCTGCCCAGTTATCTTGTTCCTTATGCAGCTGCATCTGATGGACCTGTCCATACAGGCAGTCAAGAAGTAAGTTAACCCAACATTTTGCGTTAATTTTTATTTCTATGTTTTGATCTGGCAAGATCCTATCCAACATTGTAACAATTACTCCTCATTATCTCAAAAATGATGGTTGAAAGATCGCAAAATCACTATTACATAGATATAAAAGAGATATACTCTACTACCTAAGATTAACTTTTATCTGCATGCAAATGTACTTACTTGTTTCTCTATTACTTGATTTTATTATCTAACAGTTCATGTTTTAATTTTCCTAGTGATCTAAAACCGGAGACTGACACCTTGTTTCATGAATGTATGCCAGCTTGATTTCACGATAAATGCGCTCATGTCATTGAACATGGTAGTTACTCTGTTGATAGCATTTGCACTGGACAACACCGTCCCAGGCAACAGGCAAGAACGAGGAGTGTACATGTGGTCACGTGCTGAAGACATGGCTGCTGATCCATCTTTGCAGGCAGATTACTCCCTGCCCAGGAAAGTTTCCTGGTGTTTTTGTCGGGCAAGATGTTTCGGCACAAGCGGTTAGGAGTTTGGAGTAGTTATCTTTCTCATGCTTCAAGTTTGTGTTGAAGGCTACTTCCAAGGTTTGACAGAAGGGTGAGCCTGGATACAGTACAGGTCAGTTATAGTTAAATACAAATTAATTCTTTTACAACACGAAGTTCTTACACTACAGTTGGAAATACCTATATACCATCTTTGTTACCGAGCTTGAGTGTGGTTGATTCAGATTCATACATGTGTAAAACTTAGGTGCTTGGATTGTAATTGGAAGGCATTGTATTTGCATTGTATTTGAGATTGTGAACACTTTTTCTTTTGAAGATGAAGGAGGAGAAGCAAATGAGCTTGAAGATGATTAAAGTCTTGTTTAATTAATATAAAAAAATTGTTATACAATCTAAATTACACAATATTTATCATTGGATGAGGGTGGATGCCTTGATATTAGAGACCGTCCCCAATCCAATGGCCCTTCAGTGCAAATTGAACTGCAAAATGAGAAACTTTTGATTAATATTTGTAAAGCCAAAACACAACCTGGGAGGTTCTATCTGGAAAATGGGGCGGAGGAAATATCTTGGTGCCTCATAGGGATCATCTGTGTTAACCACACAGCAAACGCTTATGATCCTTATCTTGCCATTGCATTGCCAGCCTTCTTTCTTCCTCACCCACGTTTGCCATCTGCAACTCTGAATTAGGCTCACAAATTTCAAAATTTTGGCAATATTAAGGATACCAGTTTTTAAATAATGGAATGGAATGACTCTTTTGGGCAGTTTCCCTTCCAAATAATATAGTATTTTTTGGGATATGAAAAATAAGATGTATTAACATTTATATTTAATCTTAATCACATGATAATAAATGTATAAAGATGTATATTATGTCAAGTTTATCAATGATTTAATTAGATATATTGATATTTTTAATATTATGATATTTTAATGTTTTACAATCTCATTTTATTTTATGCCTGCTTAGAAAAGATGTAGGGAAAAAACCAACCGTAAATAGCCTTTTAAATATATAGTTAGAATTATAATAGCAATTGGGGGTGTAGCTCATATGGTAGAGCGCTCGCTTCGCATGCGAGAGGCACGGGGTTCGATTCCCCGCACCTCCATTTATTTTTCTGCATTCTCTGCCTTTTTCCTCTTTGATATTGTTATCCTTGGGCTGGGTCTTAGTGATGGGCCAAACATGTCCAGTTGGGCACAGCTAACTAAGATGGGGGGTGGAGGACTTGAATTGGAGCCCAAAACTCTGCCCAGAAAAAAATGGTACAGAGTAGTTAGTAGTTACGGGCCGAAACTTGAAAGCAAAGCTAGCACCGGCCCAGGCCCCAAGCGAATTTATAGGATAAGATTAAAGTAGAATTTGCCTTTCGAGGGACCAATATTTTCTTATCTTCAATCAGAGCTCTGCATCTTGTGGATTTTGTGTGCATTTTCTAGTGCAGCTAATGTTACAACTGCACCTATTTCAGTAATTTAATAATAATTTTTTTAATAAAAATAAAAAATTTTAATTTTAAATTGTTTGTTATGTGGATGCGGGGACCTAAGAGAATGGAAAAGTTATTTCTTATAATTGCACCTACAATTTAAATAATTTAATGATAATTTTTTAATAAAAATAAGAGATATCGAATTTAAATTGTATGTTATGTAGATGTTGGGGTTTAAAAAATAGAAAAGTTATTTTTTATTATATAATTTAAAATAAAAAAATGTTACAAGTATAAAACTTAGTTTTGTATTTTTTTTAGTACATTCAATGAAGGGTTATATATAAAAAATAATTCTTTTTTTTTTTTAAATCACTTTTCATTCTACTAAGAGTTTTAATTTAAAATTTTTAAATTAAAATTTTAAACTTTTAATCAATTAAGTTAATCACAAAAACAAATTTAGCCTAGTTTAATACAACAGAAAATAAACCGCCCTCTTTTTTATGTAAAAATTAAAATTTAAACCCTAAGCTTATAACTTAAAGTACATATAATAGTTCTATTATTAGATTATATTATTAAAAGCACAAGTACTAACTCTATTACTAAAACATATTCTCGAGGGTGGAAAATAAAAAATGATATTATAAAGATAACTTTTTTTGTCTCATCTTTTTATATAATATTTACAAGTCGTTAAATGAATAAATGTGTTCAATATCATGAATCTTATATGAATAATTATTTTAATAATACATTAAATTATACAAAAAAATAAAATAAAATAATTGTCCTAATAGCATTTCTCTAAAACTTATTATTAAACTCAAAAGTCACGATCCTGAACGTGCAAATTTGCTGTGAGTAGAAAACACTCCTTAGACCGTTCAATTCAACAGCTCATGCACAACTATTTTTGAAATTAATGAAATTAAGCTTAAGATCAAAGTCTATGTTTGGTGAATTAATTTCTTATTCTTAGGATGCTTCACAAGTGAATCAGATGCCGACTTTGGTTAAAAAAAAAGGTCCATGGGGTTAATAATTTATTGTTTTTACAGCTCAGTGACATTCCAATTACCCAAATTAACCTTTCTTTAAGGCAACACAAACATAAATTAATGTTTTTGTTATAATTTTTAAAAATCTTTTGTCGGGACAGAGAGCACGTGCGTAGCCGAAATCGTCGACAATATATCTGAACTAAAGATGCTGCGCACGTGACTTAGTCAACGGTCAAAAAGCAGTGATTACGTTACACGAGTTTCCTTTAATCATTTTATAATTAAAGGGAGAAAAAAAAACAAAAAAGCAGAAGAAGCCAAGATAAGCATGATGATTAGGATCCTTTCACAGAATCTCAGCCCTACCTTTTCTTTATACTACTGAAAGTTTGAATTCGGTATAAAATTAAGGTTAGATATCTATTTGGGTTTTTAAATTATTATACGGACCTCTAATTTGATTATTAAACTAAAAAAATTCTTAAGTTAGTCTTTGAATTATTGTATGGACCCTAAGTTAGTCTCTAAACTATTGTACGGAACCATGAATTAGTCCTTAAATTATTATACTAATCCTCAATTTGGTTCATATTGTTTACCGATTTAGTCTTAACTTGGTCATTCTGTTAAATAATAGTTCAAGGACCAAATTGGGGTGAAATTGTAAACAGTAAGGATCAAATTGGGGTTTGTACAATAGTTTAAGAACCAACTTAAGCCAAATTATAAACAGTGGGGACGAAATCGAGGTCTGTACAATAGTTTAGACACCAAATCAGGGATTTCTTTAGTTTAAGGACCCAATCGGGGATCCGTACAATAGTTCAGGGACCAAAATGAGGATTTAACCTAAAATTAACTAATTAAAAGGATTGTGAGATTTTATTTTATTTTATGTAAAAATGTTGTTTAGTTTATTTTATTTTAGTTAGATTATAAAATTTTAATTATTAAATATAAATACATTTTTTATATTAAAATTTTTTAAATAATTATTTGTATTTTATAATTTTATATAATTTAAATTATAAAATAATTTTTTAATATCTTAAAAAAATTTATTTTATAATTTATATTACATTAAAGTATAAAATAAAAATTATTAAATAAGAAATAACTTTCAATATTGAGAAGTTTTGTTGTTGTTTCTTTTTTTTTTTTTTGAGGTTTTTTCTGAAATATACATGTGGGGCAAATAAAACATTAAGAGTGTTTTGCTCTTATAGACTAGGCATTAGATTAAGAAGAGCCTAATATTCGTTAAAACTTGCTATATCCAATGACAAGTATTTTTGTAATTCGGAATATAAAATGCCAACTCATATAAATTACTAGCAATAAATCCCTTATGTGTTACCCTAATGAACTTATTCTATTTTCTCAATAGTCTTCAAAATTTTTTTTGGGCCAAGTAAGCCCAGCATATCATAGGACAAAAAAATACTAAACCTCATGTTTGTATTACTATTGAGGATTGTCAAGTGCAGCAACATTAGGTCACTGATTGGATGACTGTGTCTCAATTTTATAAAAAAATAAAATCTTAATACTTGAATAATCAGTTACTGAGTGTTCTTGAATTTTGACAATCTGTTAGTGCAGTTCGTATTTCTCCTTAATATTTCTATTGACTTGACTTTTTATGGTATTAGGACTCAACTTGCTTATTAAAAAAAGTGTAGGGGACTAAACTGTGACACAAAATTACGTTCGACCTTTGACGACATGATTAAGTTGAGAGAAAACAAATCGGACAATATGGTGATGTATTTCCCAGACGGAGATCATGGAATGGATTCACAAGAGAAGCCAGCATGTTACTCACCTACCAGGGAAATTGGGCAATGCCACGTGGGTCCACGTGGCTGATAAGTGTTAGACATACATAGACGTGTACTTTGGGTAAATTAAATTATTATTTTTTTTGGGGTCAGATGTAAATTAAATTAAATTAAAATTATTAGAAAGTAGATTCTGTAAATTCTATTTGTATGGGTGAGCATTAGCACGTGTGATGTGTCACATGCCGTTAAAGCGTGGTGGGGGTAGAAGTCAGCAAAGGATGCAACTTGGCATGACAATAGATAAGATTATTTCATATGTACATATTGATCCCAAAACTTTGCCGGTGGGTTTCTGATTGTTAATTTTGGATCCATGTTCAAATTGTTTTTCAATTCAAGATCGATACGCTTGAAGAAAATAAAATGAGAAGGAAAAGGTCAAATGCCGTGTTGGTGATTTCTAACCTTCCAAAGTAAAAGATTTTAATTATTATAATGTGTTTGAGCACTGAGGGTTTGTATTTAAGTGTAAAGTCTTATATTAAAGAAATACAATACAAATAAGAGTTTTTTATTTTATAATTTAAATTGTAATAAACTGTAAAATAAAAATTGTTGAATGAAATGAGTCTATTAATGATATTAAGAGTTCATTTATTATTTAATAATTTAAATTGTATAACCAATAACTTAAATAATTCAATAATAATATTTTTTTATTAAAAATAAAAAATTTTGAATTTAAGTTACACTTGTGAATGAGATGAGATAAAAGAAGAGTAATAGTTATTTTCTATTGTGTAATTAAGCTAAAAAAATAATTTAAATAGTATAATCTAAATACTTTAAATTATATAGTACTTCTTTTATAAATATAATATATGTGTCTATGCACGTCGATCGTGTGGGTGGATTTGGGGAGACTTTTAAACTGTATTTTGAATTCAAGGTGGTTTTATTATCTTTTACAGGGGACGCTGTTGTGTTTAGCAATCGCTAGGGCATGTTATTGGGGTTGTAACAGGTTATATTTGCGTCTGAATATCAAGAACTAGTTAATTCAGGTTTTGAATCATGATAGTCAATCCCCCCCTTGGCAGAACACGTCCCATATATATATAGAATCAAGTGTTGCCCCTCAAATAAACAAATAGATCATCAGCATCAAAATATACCTAAATTTGCTGGCGTTGGCACCGAAGTCCCCATAAATGATCCTACCCTACATGGATCTCTCTAGTCTCTTCACCTGCATATTCGTTTCACTGTTCAACATTCCATTCTCATAAATTTCATTTTCTTTGCCTGTGAGAATATTTTTTTTTTCTTTGAACTTAACACCACCTTCACATCGATAAATCTCCGATAGTTCATCTTACCGCACGTGTAATTACATCAGTAAATTTATGATTGTCTACTTCACCGTACGTGTGTAATTACATCGGTAAATCTATGTATGTTGCTGAAAATGCAAGCTCTAATTGTGATTAATGCTATGCCGTATCACATCTATGTAAAGTACTCCATCTTTTTCAAATTAACTCTTTTAATAAATTTTTTTTATCTAATTTCAGATGATAGTTGTACATATATCTAATTAACATGTAATTGACTTTTTTTTTAAAACATTTTACACAATTCTTGTTAAATCGTAATAGTTTAATCTATTAAAAAAAAATTCATGCACAATTTTTGTACTATACAAAAGCATTAAGTAAAATTATATAAAAAAATAATAATTAATTTAAAATAGAAGGAGTAGGAAAGCCTTTTTTTTCTTATACAAATAACTTATATATATATATATGTATGTATATGGAACCCTTGTTAAAGTACATAGGAGATATGGGGCATAAAAAGTACATGCATGGGAGATATATATGGGACATGAAAAGTAGATATTAAGAAATGAAGTGAATGCACATCGGTCACCCTACAAGCTTTGTGTATTGAAGAGAAAATTAAGGTTATAATAATATTAAGGCATCCGAGGGATCATACGCAGAGAGGGCATGAGAAACAATAGCGCCAGGTAGACGTTGAAAGTCTAGAAATGGGGATACTGATTTTATTAATGTCAAAAATCACTTACCTTGATTACTGGGTAATGGTTGGGATTGGGATTGCTTCATTTTTACAGAGCCCCCACGATGGGGCGGCCCTGTTCCCCATTTTCCTCGCTCACTGGCACTGCTCCCCTACCCCTACGTCTTTGGTTTGCTTTACCTTTGCATTTTTTTTTCTTTTAACCCAGCCTTCCACTGTTCTTTTGACCCTCTCTAATCTGGCTACTAGAGAATTTGGGGAGAATGGAGCATTTCTTTCGAGATAACCTAGGAGCCCCCAAATCAATGGCTGAAAGGTAAACCACCAGGCCAATATCTACGACCAATTTAGCACATTTTTTGTTTTTGTGTTTTTGCTAGTAGCATTTTTATTTTTAATTTTTTTTGTTTTTAAATATACAATAGAAGATAATTTTTTATTCTATTCTTTAATCTTTCTTTTTTTTTTGTATGCTTGTCACTTATATGTTAAAAAGAGATTATCACGGAATCCATTAAATTGTTTGGACTGATTTTAGCTATTTGTAAATGAAAATGGCTAAGTAAGGAATCCTTAACCTCTATTTAAAATTAAGGTTTTATAATTTGTTAATGTACTAATAATATAGTTAAGTTCTTTTTCTTTTTTTTTTTCTTTTTTTGTTTTAAATAATTGAGGAAATTTTATTAGTATGGTTTTTGATTGGGGGTATTTTCCTAAATAAAGTGTGATTATTAAAAATCATTGAGTATATTCAAGTAAATGAAAGATCCCCAACTCAACACGAGTATGAGTAACCATTCTAATCAAATTTGAGGATGTGAAAGTACCGTTATTCGACAAGTGTTGTCTATAGATAAATTTAAGATTTAAGTTTCTGAATTAACTTTTAAAGAAATTAATTTATTTGAATACAATTTGTCAATATAAGTAGTAGTTTTTTAATATGTTTTAAGAAAAATTAGTTTTGAAATATGCAAAAATTGCCCAAAATACGTGATTTTTTTTATACGAACTTATCGGTATCTGATAATTATATTGGATCCTAACTAATACAAAATCAAGTTGGGTCAAACTCCATTAAGGGAGAAGTTTTCCCAGTACTTGTTTCTCTATTTACAATATTTGAATTCGATATATTTTATTTAAAAGGAATTAA